GCGCTGCCTGGGGCTGGGGAAAGGCCCTTGCTGCTGGGGCTGCCGTGCCCCGCGGGGCGCTCGGGGCTGCACGTGGCCGGCCGCGGAGGGAGGGACCCGACCTGGCAGGGCGCGGTGCAGCCTGGGCACAGCCGGCACCAGGCCAGGCTCACAGCACCCAGCAGCTCGGCCAGGGGACTGGGAGCGGAGCTCTTGCTGCTCTCCTCGGCTAGGCCGTGGGTTGGGGTTGAGCCCTGGGTGGGGGGCAGGTGCAGGGGAAGCGGGGACTGCCCGGGCATTGCCCAGGGTGTCGCCGTCGGGGCTGGGCGAGCTGCGGGAGGCTCCTGCCAGGCGGAGGGTTTAACAGGCGGTTTCTCTTTCAGCAGCAGGTGGGTCACATCTCCCCGGCCCGGGACAGCACCCAGGTCCCCCACGGCTGCCCGCAGAGTGCCCAGGTCACCTACAGCCACCTCCAGAGCGCCCAAGCCTGGCCACAGGAGTGGTGGAGCTGAGGGGAGCAGAGCGTGGGCCGCAGAGACCCCGGGATCTCCACCGCCGCGTCCCTGCCGCCCCCAGGTCCCCCTGGAAACAAACGGCTCCTCATTAAATCTCGTTATTGCTGCACGCCCACTGGCTGGTCATTGCAGGGCTCTCCCGTGCGGGGCGGGGGGTACCCAGCATGCTGCCGGTGTCCCCGGGGGCCGGGGCCGCGCTGGGACACCTGGGGCACAGAGCCACAGGCAGGGGAGCTGGGGCCGGGTTCCCCTCCGGGATCCGACCCTGCTTTTTCAGGGCTTCCCCCACAGAGGAAGGAGCTTGGGCGGGTCCTTCCCTGCAGCCCCCACAGCCGCCGGGCTTGACAGAGGGGGCTCCCCGGTTCCCCGGCCGGGGGTCCCCGCACCGCAGCTATGACAGTCCTGCACCGCGGGCCCATGCTCAGCGGGTGCAGCCTGCGCCCGGCCCCACAGCTGGCATCAGGACGCTGCGGGGTCCAAGGTGGGCACAGGGGCACGTGCCCACAGTGCACGGGAGGCTCCGGGCTCCCACGCCCGGCCCTGCTGCAGCGCCCTGCAAGGAGGCCGTGCACCGGGGCCAGGGGAGAGCAGGCACTGCTGCGTTCCTGCGCCAGCCTGTGCCCTTCGGCCGGGCCCCTCCGAGAGGCTCCCCCCCAAGCCATGCAGGCTGCTCCCCTCCC